GGAGCTGCTGATTGAGCTCCCCGAGTCCTCTCCTGCCTCCCTCCATGCTGCAGTGGGGAGGGAGGCTGAGAGCAGAGCCTGCGCTCGGATCCTGAGATCTCCCCTGCCGGTCTCAATACATAGGCGTGCCGCAGGGATTAGGGTGTGCCCAGGCACACCCGGCACCCCCCGTGCGCACGCCTATGATGAAACAGGTACAAGTGGATACACATCCAACGATCCTCCCCCCAAAAAATACACGTTTGGGATGTGACTGGGGTATCAGACTGGGGCTGGTACACACAAGGGTTCCTTTAATGCTGACACGATTTACTGAAAACATACATGCATTAAATTGTGATTTTTTTTTTCATTGGGGTTATATCTAAAAATAGCTTCCAAAAGCTGCAGTTCTCTTGTCTGAGTAACAAAATAGAGAACAGGACCGCATTAAATACAGATAGTGTCGAATTTTAGTTGTCTACAAGTATACTTATCCAAATCTGTCTCTTGCTCTCCTAAAGAGCCATGCTACAATCTCACCTCCAGCTCTGCTACTGTTCCACCTTGCTTGGTGGCTGTCACCTTTGCTGCCCTGTTGTGTATTTGTATCCCACCTCCTCTAGACTGTGAGCTCATTTGAACAGAGCCCTCATCTACCTATTGTTCCTATGTCACTGTCTAATTGTCTTAATTATTGTAAATGTCCCCCCTTTTAAAATATTGTAAAGCGCTATGGAATTAGTTGACGCTATATAAATACCAATAATAATAATATTGTAATAATAATTATAATAATAAAACCCAGTCTTGTATGATCATACATTTAGGCAAAACAAATGAATCCACCAACATGCACTACAATAGAAAATGGAATAGTAGGGAGAGAAGACAAAAAATACAGCTAATAGCATAGTACCATTAAAACACATACATATTTAGTTAAAAAATGTATAGAAAATTAAAACATTATTAGAATTGGACTCTCACATTTAAGTAATGTGTTACAATCACATCAAGAGTGTGGCTTTTGAGACCTTAAGGATTCCCCAATTACAACCTCTAACCCCATCCCCCCGTCCCCCTGATCCCTATTTCAACCTCAAGCCTCACCCCCCTCCCCCCCATTACAATCTCTCCCCCTCATTACAATGTCCCATTACAACCCCTAATCCCTATTACAGCTAGTATGCCCCATTACAGCTCCACCACAACCCCTCCTATAGCTATAGCCCTATTCCCCCGCTACAGCCCCTATTTCCCCCACTACAGCCCCTATTTCCCCCACTACAGCCCAATTTCCCCACTACAAACATCCAGCTACCTTACTACAGCCCCCTAACCCTGTACCCCTATTATGGCCTCTATCCCACCATTACAGCCCATATCCCCCTATTAGAACCCCTTCCTCTCATTACAGCCCTTGCCCCCATTACAGCACATGTTCCCTCATTGCAGCCTATATCCATTATTACTGCCCCTGTTCAATTGCTACAGCCACTCTCCCTCCACATTATATCTCCAATCCCTCCACACTACATCTCCTCTCCCTCCACATTACAGCCACTCTCCCTCCACACTACATCTCCTCTCCCTCCACATTACAGCCACTCTCCCTTCACATTACATCCCAAATCCTCCCTCACTACAGCCCCTAACACATTACAGCCCTATTTCCCCCATTTCTACTCCTAACACGTATTTATGAAGGCAGGATTGGTGAGGGCCCATCAGCACAATCTTACCCACGGCCAATTTAATATTAAAGCTGGCCCTGCTTGACGGGTGCCATTGTAATGATATAATCAATGTTATCTACTTCACCTGTCAGTAGTTTTAATGTTTAATGGCTGATCAGTGAATGAACTATGGTAGTCCATCCTTGGACCAAACGTTTTTTAATTGTGTCCACACTTCAGCACCTCCTGCCCGTAACTAAACTACTTTATTGTTATTTTCAGAATAACTTTGTTGCGGAAAGTCTTATATAGTATGTATGGTTTTATTAGAAACTCCACTTCTGACTCATTAGCGTATTTACGTTTGAGCTAACAGCAGCCAGACTCACCCATCCATGGTTTCCTTGATGTTTGGGGAAGGGGAAGGTGAGTTTACACTAGAGTCACCAGTACAGTGGCATCGCTAGGGAGGTGCCAGAGGGTGCCATGAGCCCCCTACATCATGCCGTGCCCCCACTTGTGCCCTCCCAAATGCAGGGCCAAATGTATCAAGGGATGTGCGAGCCTCAGGGGTCAATAAACTGCTTCCTCAATGACAGGAGGAAGCACCGGGGATGTCCATGCGGTCAGTTTGGGATAGATGCAGCCAGGGCTGGCCATGGGCCTTTAGGTGAAAAATCACACACACAGATTTACAGTGACACACAGGCAGACAGTGACGCATACACAGTTACAG